GTAAGCTGTGACAGTTTTACCTGCAGTTATCAGGGGGCTGTATGTGGGGGGCTGTATGCAGGGGGCTGTATGTGGGGGGCTGTATGCAGGGGGTTGTAGCAGCAAAGAGGTCTAAAACATGGAAGTAAGCTGTGACAGTTTTACCTGCAGTTATCAGGGGATTTGTAGTTTTACCATGACCGGTAGCAAACTTAGCACCATGAAGACAGATCGAGTCAACCTCTGATTACGACTCTTAACTTTATTTATTAACGCAGCCAACGGTTGGAATGATCAAAAGTAGAAAAAATTAAGACTTGACAAAATTAAATTTAAGACCTTGGATGAAAATCTGAGCGTTTTTAAGACTTTTTTGGACTTTTTCAGACCCGGTGTGAACCCTGTAAAACCCACTTGTTTACTTTGGCTTTTGACACTGTGACGGTTTGTGTTGTTCATTTATACTAGATTTTATTTTTTGTAGAAAATTTCTTGTTTTTATTGGAGATTTTAAATTAGGTTGTAGGCATTTTATTGTTTTTTTATTTCCTGCTTTTATTTTTTCTGTGGTTTATTATTCTTATCTTAATTTTGATTGAGTTTGTTTTTGTATGAGCTGTGTTGGAATGTTGATTCTGTACAGCACTTTGGTCTATGGTGCAAAAAGTGCTTTGCACATAAAGCTGGATTGGATATGGCCCAGTCCATTTATTAATTAAACTTACCTGCTCGTCTGTTTTCAGGTCTCCAAACTCCTCCAGGAAGGAGCTCTCTGAGGGAAACTGCTGCGGCTCCAGAAAGTTCAACAAACTGAACAGCTCCTCCACCGAGTTCTGCAGAGGAGTTCCCGTCAGCAGAACCTTCTGCTCCTGTTTGGACGCAGGCAGAGCTTTAGAACACGGAGGAGCGAGCAGAACGGAGCGAGCAGAACGGAGCGAGCGAGCTGTAACTGACCAGGTTCATGAGCTTCAGCCCCTCCAGCAGCTTGCAGTTCCTATTCTTCAGCCGGTGGGCTTCGTCGATCACCACGCAGCGCCACTGCAGCTTCTTCAGCTCCGGGCAGTCGGCCATGATCATCTCGAAGGTGGTGATGAGCCCGTGGAACTTCAGCCCACCTGGGACCGGGTTACCCTGAGAGAGAGACCGATCGGATCGCTGCGTGAATAAAAAGAATCTGAAAAATGCTGGAGTCATTCTTGAACAGAAACATGTGACGACAGCAGGAAATAAACTGATTTATTGATGTTTTTATTCCACTCTTCTCAGAAACTCCCAGCTAACTCATTTACTCAGCGATATAATTAACTCTGATGTAATCTGGACGCAGATGAGTGGCACAGATTACTGAGTGGATATGTGAAAATCTAATTTTTAGCCCATATTAACTCGTGTCCCTTTCAGCCCAGGACTTCCAGACCTGACAGCTGAAATCAGACCCAAACCTTCGGAGCGTCGTGGAGCCCGGTTACCTGCACGTCTCTGTAAAACATCTCGTACTGCAGGATCATCTGCCGGCTGATCTGCGAGCCGTGGTACACGATCACGTTCATGTGCGTCCACGTGCGGAACTCCCTCTCCCAGTTGGTGATGGTGGACAGCGGCGCGATGATGAGGAAGGGCCCGCGGATCCCCATGGTGAAGATCTCGTACAGGAAGGTGATGGACTGGATGGTTTTACCCAAACCCATCTCGTCGGCCAGGATGCAGTTTTTTCTACAAATGGACAAAGAACAGAGCTCCTGTCAGCACGAGGGCTGCGTGTGGGCAGGAATTTGGTGATACAATACGTTAAGAGTTATAAATAACACATTTAAAATTCTGTTAAAGAAATGGCTTATTGATAATCAGAGCTGTCAACACTACGCTACAATTAGACCAGCTCCTGCTGCCCTCAGTTGTCATCTTGTCTCATGTGTGGTTTTATTGTTTTTTGATGTTTCTTTTACTACTTGGTTTATGTGTTTTTATATGCATTTTAGCTCGTAATATTTTAAGTATTTAAAAGTGTTTTGTATTGTTATTTTGTAATTATGTAGTTTTACATTTAATATTTTTACATTTAATATTTTAGGGTGACTTTTTAGTTAAGTTTATTTCAAACGTGTATACAAAACAAAACAAAAAATGATAAAAAGTGAAAAAAAATTAACATATTTGAAAAGAAATGGGAAGAAGTCAAAAACTTATATAATCCCACCCTTCTCCGAAGCTTATTAACAAAAAAATAATAGTAAATTCTGCTTTTTCCTTATTCTAAGTCACAATTTCATAAACATTAAAACAACAATCTGTTTACCTAGAATTTTATATAATACCAGAATATATTCATAAACGTAAAAGTACATCTACATGCAGTGTGTATGCATACAAATAAATGTATACACACACACGTACGCACATATATACACAGACCCAAACATCTCCATATATTGCAAAAAAACAAACAAAAAAAACCCTATAAAATAAAATAAAAAATAATAACAGACTTTTACCATCTGTCTGGGGACAGCAGGTGAAAAATAGCCTTCTGGCTAATTCTGGCATATTTACAGAAATGTTATTAATATGTCCCTGTAATAAATAAAGGAAATAAATAAAAATAAAAATAAAATAGATATATCTCAGCATATCGCAATAAATTGTATCGTATATATTGCAATACTGTAATCAAGGCCATACATTGGCATTTATTGTCCAAAACTTCTATTAAAAAATAAAACTGAGTATGTTTTATATGATTTTTATTTGATTTATTTCTTATTTTATCCATGTTCTTAATTATTAGACTAAATGTGCCATTAAATATTATTTGTATAGTAATATTTGTATTTACTGCATTTAAAAACCTACAAATTGCGTTCCTGTGTTCTTTAACCTTGAAATAACTAACAATATTTAATATAGTTAAGTATTATTTAAATGTACTTCAATAAAAAATAATAAAACCAGTGAAATAAAACACTTCAACTAAAATGTTTTTCTTCTAAATCCATTTTCCACCTGCACAATGATTTATCATGAGGCAGGTTAATAAAACAATAATTAAAAGGAGAAAGTTTTTTAAACGGTGAACTTTATAAAACAACACAAGGTTCTCAGTTTAACGTTTAATGGAGACGTGAGGCCATTAACGCATTAAAAACCAATCATTCCTACAGGACTGCAGGTCGCCTCTCATGACAGGTTTAAACTAAAATCATCTTGTTTGAAATAAAGAAGATAAATTTGGAGCCATTTTAGTCAAATCTTGAATAAATTCATGCAGCTTCATGTGTGCTGGTAACGACTTTCAGCTTTGACCACAGCACATTTTAGCTCCATATAAAAAGACGCTGAGTGAGTGGAAGCGGCCATGTTGAATCTGGTTGACTTTAACTGGTCGTAGTTATTTCTAGAGTGTTTGTGTGTAGTTTCAGTGCACGCCCACCTGTTGTACCAGTTGAACAACAACCAGTTCATGCCCTCTAACTGGTACTCTCTCAGCTGGTTTCCGTTCCTGTAGTCTCTGGATCGTTCCAGCTTCTGCCATTTTTCAGGAGGCGGGCGCTCCTGTCATGAAAACACAAATAAAACTTCAGCTTTTTGTTCTTGAAGCGAACAAAATCTCCCGATAAGACAACACACTCAGAACTGTCAGGATGTTTTCATTTTTAATCAAACATCCAGACTGTGGAAAAACTTTTTTTACAATATTTATTAATTTCATTTATAAACAAACTAATTCACATACAAACAAAAATACATATCAAACAAAATGAAAGGTAGCAG